CGCCACGGCGTCCGCCTGTAACGCCCTTAATGCCCGCACCACGGCGTTCGCCTGTAATGCCTGTGCCAGAGCATTCACCTGTGATGCCCACACCACACATTCACCCGTAACACCCTTAACGCCCGTGCCAGGCATTCACCTGCAATTCCCTTAACGCCCGTGCCACAGCATTCACCTGGAACACCATTGCCACCATGTCCACCTGTGATGCCCACGCCACACATTAACCTGTAACACACTCAATGCCCATGCCAGGCATTCACCTGTAATGCCCTAAACACCCGCACCACAGCATTCACCTGTAACACCCTCACCATGGTGTTCACCTGTAACACCCTCACCGTGGTGTCCACCTGTGATGCCCACGCCACACATTCACCTGTAATGCCCTTAACATCCATGCCAGGCATTCACCTGTAATGCCCTTAATGCCCACACCAGGTGTTCACTTGTAATACCTACGCCACGGCATTCATCTGTGACGTCCACGCCACAGAATTCCCATCTGCGCCACGGCATTCGCCCGTGACACCCGCGCCACCGTGTTCACCTGTGATGCCTATGCCAGTCAACAGGAAGTGCCTGCTGAGTAAGTGCACACTTTCAAGCCCACCTCTGACCTTTTCAGAATCTCTTTCTGGAAAATAATCCATTCCCAAGACCACTCTCCACATGGTCTGAAAAGACCCGGGGTGAGAGGAGTTCGAGGCCAGCTCTTACAAAGCTTCATTCCTCACAAGATTCTGAGGAAGGGCATTTTGCTGTTCTGGAACAAAGCTCCCACATACCCACAGACGTTTGTATCTACACATCACTGTGCGGTCTCCTCCTGGAAGACTACCCACCCGCTGAGTAGAGTATCAGGACTCAACTCCTATGTGCCGCCTCTAACTCAAGCTCTCCTGGGGCCACAGGGGTCTGACCACCAACCGCAGGTGGCAGGTGATGGCCCCAGGGCATCTCAGGACAAAACTGCTGTGGGAAAGAACTAATTTCTGATGTGTTCTGTCTAAAGAACAACCCAGCCTAAAGATGGGCCCTTTCCACATGAGACACAATTCACTAAGGCGGGAAGCACCCTGGATGTGTGGCATTCTGTTTTATTTTAAAACGAATGTGTTTACTAAGGAATGTGAAACTTGCAAGGTCTCATGGGCAAAATATGCCTCACTTTCCTAGGACTTTACTCAGCAAAAATGAGTTTCTGACCCAAAAGATAATGTCTCAAATACCCATCAACAAGTGATCAACTCCCACTAACCCAGAAGGGGGGGATGTAGCACCACAACGTTCTGTTTTGTTTTTCCTAAAGTTACAACCCACTCATTCCCATCTGTCAAAGATGGACAGAATTCCCAGGCTGGATTCTCACATCCATACAAGGCAGACACAATGTATGCCAACCCATCTGATGAAAATCTTAGTCGTATCTCCAAAAACACAGGCAATTTTTTCTACAACTGATGAAGCAGTTGAGAATGAGCAGAGCACCCCACATGGATGAGCACACGACGTGCCACACTAACTCTCATGTCTTTTCTTCTTCGGGGACCGTTTTAACCAGAGCAAGGCTCCTGGGTGCCTAGGGCCTGCTCCTGCTCGTCTCGTCTGTGAGGCAGACATCTCACACACGGACATGTCTACCTGGCAGGTGTATCTCCAGGATGCACAGTGCCCATCTACGCAGCAGATGGAAACAAGACCCCTGGCTCTCCTGAGACCCTCCTCACCGAGGATATTCTCTCACCCAGCCCGCCCTTCCGGTGTGGGCACTCTACATTTCCCTTTGATTTACACTTCCCTGAAATACAAGATGGGTGCTTTTCAATCAAGATTTTACAATACAGTTTACTAGTTTAACCATGAATGTTATGATCAATCTTTCTGAGCCAACTCAGATATTCTACTGCAGATGAACAAAATAAACTAAGAAAGTCCAGCTTAATAACTCTATAATAAGAAACAAACTTCCACGTTGGGACATGTAAGCATCTCCATCCTGGCCCAGTCCTCCTGTGGGCCCAGTAAGGGGACAGACATTCTCATGAACACAAACCAGCACACACAGAGCCGAGCTGGCCCCGACGCCCACGTGGGGACCACACACTGATGGACAACACCAGAAAAAGATGAATGCTTGAGCAGTACCCAAGGGGGCCAACCTTTCCAACATCACGAAGTCACTGAATTCCAAAGTTCTCCTGCCCACACTCTATTTCCACCATGACTTGGCTGGTGAGAGTTTAAATACGTGCGGTATTCATAGCGTGAGAACCCAGTGCAGACGTGTGTAACACAGACTACCCTCATATACTGGTATGTCCTGGGGTATCCAATGACGCCAGTCATTCACTTTGAATGGGAAAAAACCCACAAAGCAGGAAGTAAGATGAACATAACCCATCGGACAAAAAGCCGGAAGAGATGACCATGGGGCCTTGGCCCTGAAGGATGACTGGGGCAGCTCTGCCCACAGTCGCCCACTGTGCACTGGATGGCCGGACCTCAACCTGCTAACTAGCATATAACTAGTAGGGCTGTAAGCAAGCTAATTCTTAAAATGGAAGGAAGGTTCTTTTAAAGGAGAAACACAGCACCGATGAGGGACAGAAAGCCCTGAGACTTATGCCTATGATTTTAAGGCAAAAACAAGATGTTCTTCAAAAAGAGGGAAAAAAGCTTATAGGTAAACCATCACTGAACTCAGAGCTAGTCCTGAGACTCGTACTGGCAGAAAATCTCGACGATGCGTCTAACACGAGGTCCATTTTACTGTCAAAAAACATGCTTCTTTCACTCTGCTCGTGTACGCATATACAACATACCAATGTTTTTATTCCTTCTCAACTTAAGTTTAAGCATTTATACTAAGAAACTATTTCATGTCAGATTTAACAAAAATCTTTTGATTAAATACTTTGATTTAGACACCTACAAGGTCAGCCTCTTTCAAGTGCATTTAAATTGTGAATTGCCTGGATTTAAAACTCCAAACAAGACCTTCAAAATTTTTGCACATCTTTTGAAAACTCCAATGTTCACTCCACCGGAGGCCCAGGCACATCTCAGTGCCCCTCGACCCTCACCAGCACTGGGTCTGCCATGCTGCAACTTCTCAATACTTGTTTGTTGAATAGTAAATTCTTTTTATTTCTATAAATAAACCACAATAGGAGATTCTGTAACGACTGCTCCTTCTCTATCAATTCTTAGAGGTTTTCAACCTTTGCTCATGAAAAGCAGACCCCACTGAGCTGGAACATCACAGAATCAACTCCACTGGAAAGCAGCACTATCATGGGAAGGGGCCTGCTGCGGACTTCACAGCCCCCACAGTTAGGATCTCTGCAGAAACAAGCCTGAGGACAGGAAGTCTGTCTGGAAAGTGGTTCTGCTCAGCGCACCACACTTTCACAGAGTGGCAGCCCAGAAAAACAACACCAGAAACTAGTGACAGGAAATGCTTTTGCTATTTGTCTATTACAAAAGACAAAGAACTGAAAGGCATTTAACACTGGTCATCTTCTAGATAAGAGCTCGGCAGACTTTTTTTGCAGCGAGCCAGACAGTAAATATTATGGGCTGGGCAGGTCATCAGGTCTGGGTGGCAACTACTCCACTCTGCCGCTGCAGTGCAAAAGCGGCCACAGACGGAGAGGGAGTGAATGAGTGTGGCTGGGTTCCAGAGGAACTCTACTCACAGAAGCAAATGGGCCAGGCAGGCAGGGCTGGGGCAGGGCTGTGTGCCAGCAAAACTCTATTCACAAAACAGACCGGGCTTAAGTTTGATAGTCCTGTTCTAGATCAATGCTCAGATGACCACACCATGAAGAAAAAGTTCTGTATACTTGCTTGGCAATTAAAACAAAAAAAGAACACGTAGATAAAAACAAAACACCTTCATTTGTAAGCTCAAAATCACACAAAGGGAATTTACTTTTTGGCAATCTTTTGATGCCGTTTCTTTTATCTAAAAACCATAACTATAAAAAAGCTTTTCCTCTTTAAATAATCTGAAATCATTATTTTATATATAATTTTGGCATATATATATATATATATATAATTTTGGTACATATATACAGAAAGGTTGGTGGTTTGAGTCCACCCAGAGGCACACTGAAGAAAGGCCTGGTGATCTACTTTTGAAAAATCAGCTACTGAAAATCCCAGGGAGCACAGTTTTACTCTGACACCCATGAAGTCACCATGAGTCGGAGTCCATGGCAACTGGTCGTGTGTGTGTGTGTGTGCACGCACAGAGAGAGAGGAGAGAGAGAAGGGATGTGTACCTTCTTCTCCAGAGAATTGCTCCACTCCTTCAGTAAGTTCACGTGCTGCACTGCGGAGCTGGCCTCGTGTGCCTTAATCTGCTGGTTTGTGCCCTGTGAGAACAAAGAAGCAAAGCATTAAGCCAATTCACTCCACTAAAAAGTACAGGAAGACTAACAATGACTCTAACACCACCTACACCCATGAAGGGGACACTTATTCTCAGTTAGCAGCTACCTTGTCTACTGCACGCAGGTGAGCAGGCAGAGGGCACGCAGCAGCGTGAGGGAGGGGGAGCGCTCTGCAGGTCAGCCGCTGTAACCCTCAGCCCGCACGCTGGTAGTGCCTTCTACCAACTAACAGCTCACGCTTGGAAAATCAAGGAAGTACAGTTTAAACTCCTATCACTTTTGTTCCTTTAATATTATTTTTTTCATTAAAATTTTAAACGGAAAATGTTTAGATATCATAGTTACACCTAGATACTGTTACAAAAGCAAAATGCAATCAAATCAGGATTTAAGGTAATTTACTAGAATATTAATTTGTTAGCTCAAACACACTATCAGAAGATGTACCGCTCCTCACTCTTCTACTTCGAAAGTTACATACAGGACACAGAAAATCTACAGAGTACATAAGATGTAGACCATTTTTAGTGTTAGTAATAACCACATGAAATAGTAGTTCATATGTTTGAGGAAACAATTGGTATGAAAATATGATTTGTTTTGGAAGTGGAAAATTCAGAAGCCACAGAAAACATTTTAATGATCTCCAAAACATATACTCTGTACATGGACTATTCATATATATATATATATGTTGATATAAGTGTGGCCATATATAAACATATATATACACACACAAAGAGAATGAATGGTGCTACATCAGACGTTAACAGTGGTGAAGGCCCAGTCTCGTTACAGACTAAAGCAAAAGGGAAAGCTACTGTCACTCTTAAGCTTTTTACTTTCTAAGAAAATACTAAGATGCCAACAGCTTTATATTGATTTCATAGTAATGGATTGGTGATACGTAAAATTAGATATAAAATACTTTACTTGTAATATATATTTCCCTTGGATAATTTAAAATTAAGATATACATTTAAATGAAAACTCAGTTCAAATTCTCTAGCAATCTCAGACGTGTAAAAAGAAAAATGAACCAACGAAACAACCAGAGACAGGTTTCTCAGGCTACATGTGTGGCAGGAGCCAACATCCCTCCCTGCCCACGTCCCGGGAGAGGCGGCTGGTCTGGCCCGTCATCACAGGCGCGTCCACAAAATGCACTTAGCACACACATGTATGGGACCCTGGCGGGTGTGTCATGATGCACCCACTGCTGAGCTGTGTCCGGCTTGGTGTTTACTTCTATTCAAATAACATAAATTTTCTGTAACGATTTTTCTAGAATCCCCCAAACTGTCATTGCTGGTTTTATGGGGAGCTCTTCTGAAATAAGCAAGCTGACCTGCCCCTCGGCAGAGGGGTCCACCTGCAGATTCAGAACATCATATGCACAGGAAGCAAGCGCCCACACTGCTGCACATGGCACTCGTCACCCGTGCAGCGGGCGTCCCCGTCTCAGGACAAAGACTGGAAGAGTCTAGAACCTGCATGTTAACATGCTAATATGATAACTTTCTCTCATTGCAGAATGCCAGTGACCGGAAGGACAAATGTCGGATACTGACCTGAAAAACGCAGCCATAACGCTTAAAACTACAGGTGCTGGGGGCATTGACACACTCTGACAAGTGTGCACTCAACTGCAACGGGAAAGAGACGTGAGTTGTGGCACGAACGTTTGCACGAACATGTTCAAACATATTAAGGGCACAGATCGCATCAGGGCTGCACTATTCAGACGGGTGCTAACCAGCTACAGGTGTGCATATATTACCTGCTTCCTAGACTCGCAGGCAGTAAACATACATTACAGCCACGTGTATACACATGTACACACTGTATACAGAAATACATTTACTAGAACATTTCTCAAACTTTGCTGTTTCTTTAGAACAAACTGTTCAAAATGTGACATGCTGTCTACAGTGCCAAAATTTAAAAAGAAAAAAAAAAAGCAAACTGAAATGCACATTTATAGACTATAAACAAAAATCGCATGAAAACACAAAAAATACCAAGCATTCAGGATGCAGCTGGGTCAGACACCTAATATACATAAACAATATATTTCAAAGCAAGCTTACACAAGGTACCATCACTCTCAGTACTCGAGACGGCTGGGAAGGAGGTCTTCCTTCTTCTGAGAACACTTTCCCCTCTGCTTGCCATAGACTCGTTTAGACTTTAAAGACCTCTAAGTTCCTTCTAATGATAAGAACTTTTAGGCTGCACCTCTAATTGATGAGGGGAAATCAGGAGGAATTGGGAAAAGAAAACCTGTCTTTCAAGGAAAGCCCTCACTCAGTTTGAATGTTGGTGGGTCAGCAAGGAAACCACTTACAATGCTCCTTGCGGGCAAAGGGGGTTGGAAGGACATTTTAAATACACAGCTTATGCAGAAACCCAAAAAACCAAACCCGTTGCCGTCGAGTTGATTCCGACTCATCGCGACCCTACAGGGCAGAGCTGGACTGCCCCATAGGGTTTCCGAGGAGTGGCTGGTGGATCTGAACTGCCAACCTCTCAGTTAGCAGCTGAGCTCTCAATCACTGCGCCACCAGGGCTCCAGTTTCTGCACTAGGCTGATGCAATTTAAGGGGAGTTCCTTCCCTTATTGAAGAAATTCTCATTAGGAACCTCTAGGGAGAGACCTTCTTTATACACACCCCTAAGGCCCCAAGCTGGGAAGCGCGCTGTAGCCCCCGGGGTGTGTTTTTCTGAGCATGAGGTGTGCATGGACCAGAGTGGCCACTCAGGAGGGTGCTGCTAGTTTCCACAGAGTCTCCTAGGTCTACAGGACAGGGGCAGTCCTGTCCCAGTCAGTATGTGGCACAGGGGGAAGAAGCACTGTGCCCACCTCACACCCTGTTTCCACAGCTGAGGGTGGGTGGGGGGAAGAGACCGTGGCAACAGCCTGGAGGCGTCACCCATCTGGCCAAGGCTGAGGACAGCCTTCTGGGAAGGCCTCTGAGCAGGCAGAGCCAGAACAGCTGAGGATCTAGCAGCCTCAGGGGCACCAGGTACACATAGAGGAAGGCCCAAAGGCTGGTCTCAAGTGGCCGCAGGTAACGCGTATAACCAGGGACCTAGTAGCTAGCACGTCTAATGTTAAAATCAGGGACAGGCTGAGTTTGACAAACGTTATTTTCAGTGTACTACTTTAAACTTGGGGCCCTGGTGGCACAGTGGTTAAGAACTTGGCTGCTAATCAAAAAGTCAGCAGTTCGAATCCACCAGATGCTCCTTGGAAACTCTATGGGGCAGAGTTCTCTGTCCTATAGGGTCGCAATGAGCCTGAATCAACTCAACGGCAATGGGTTTGGTTTTTTTGGGGTACTTGAAGTTCAGGGTTGTACTTTTTCCTAAATTGGCTTTATTATACTATTACCCTCAGAGTCCTATGACATTTATAGGGGCTTCTGAATAGAGGCAAGAATAAACTACAGCCCCACAGCACCTTCTGCCAAAAACCCAAGATAAATGTAGATTTAAAGATTCTTTTTGATAAAAATAACTTGAGACAATGGAGGCAGCGTTTGTCCCTGACCCATATAACCCCGATTAAGTAAAAATGAGGAACGTGTCTAAAATGCTGGAACTATCTCAGCAGCACAGTCTCTTTATACGTGAACCGACAGAGGGACTTTTCACAGCTGTGGTTTAAAGTCCAGGTGGATGGTGCTGGGGGACGGAGGCCGCCATGACAGGAGGACCCACCTCACCTATCGGAGCCAGCATCTGGGAGGGCTCCCTGTCTGTGCCCTGGCCCTATGCCACACAGGCCCTCTCACTCAGCTGGGGACAGGAGACTGGACTGCCCCGTTCCCCAATATTAGGTGCAATTTCAGGCCCGCTGGAAAAGACGGGGGCTCCTCAGACCAGAGCACCCAGAGCTAAGTGACTGCCTGGAGACCTGGGGCACCATACACCACTGTGCCCAAGAAGGTCACGTGACTCCTGTCATGGCAACCAAAAGGGATGTCTGCACGTGATGCCAGGTCAGGATCGGGGACAAAAAGACTCCATGGAGTTTTTCCACCTGAATATGTCCTGATCACATGAAGTTAATGCAGAGTCAACCCGTCTCCAGAAGTGCAAAGGGAGGCGTGAGAGTCAGCCTGGGGCAGAGCCTCAGCCTAGGGCTCCCTGCCCCCTGCGCACACCCTGACTGGTCTGGAGTGTCTCTAAGTGAGCTTATTTTCTTGAGATAACCTTGTAATAATCCCATATTTTATAGACTTAAATAGCTTTTCTTAACTTTGATGTAAAAAAATGCCACCTTTGCTCTCACCGTGGATAATGTATTTTCTTTATTCTTGGAAATATTTTTTGCTTTGAATTTACCACTTTGTAGCTTTTAACTGCTTGCTTCTGAAACTTCTGACTTGCAAAAGATAGCATGAGGTTTTCCTTTTCTGCTACACACACTACTGTAATGATCTGTAACTACGTCAGACTTCAGCAATGGGGGAGTGGACTCTCGGGCATGCTCATCTCAAAGCCCTCACGCCCTGGAGTGGCCCGGCATCTGCGGCTCTTACCTCGCTCCTCAGAAGCGTCTGGACGCTGCACTTATGGGGGCAGGAGACCACCACGCAGGGGCATTCAGTGTCCTCATGTTTCTGTGGAGGAGGGAAGGGGTGGTGTTAACGTGCAAACACACTCAGACCTCTTTAAGCTCCCCCAACACGAACCCAAAGCAAGCGCTCTGTGCACTGTTGTCGTCCCTCCAAGGAGTAGCTACCAAAACCACAATCTTGAATGTTGCGTTTCCACCCGCTTTGCTTTTCAAAAAAGAATAGTTTCATTACACATAGATGGTGCCAAAGAAAATATTTTGTTTTGAATCCTGTTGAAATGGAATTCTGCTACGTGGTCTTCTGTGCCCTGGCTCGTTATTATGCTTTTCATAGTGACCTGCGGGTTGCATATAGTGACAGCGCCTTCATTTTCACTGATGTATAATACGTTTCACAGCTGTACGGTGAGGTACTGTCACTGCTGGATCACAGTCCACTGAGTGACCCCACCACAGCTTATCTGTCATCTGCCTGCAGTGGACATTTGGGATGTTTCTACATTCTGCTGTTCTGCTTGAACACATCGCCTGGCAGGTATGTGCAACAGTTTCTCTTACACATCTAGGAGAGGAGCTGCTAATGAATGGAGCATGTCAAGGTTCAACTTAATGAAATCTTGCCCAGACTGTTCTCCTATATATACACTCCCACCACAATGTACGCATTTTCCCGTAAAACGGTCTTTGCAATTCCGATTTTTCGCAAATCAATACAACTGTTTAAAGACACCAATATTTGACAATTTCTAGACTAAATGCAGAAGGGACTTTTTTTCCCTAACATGCTGACCTATTGATTAAAAAAAAATACTTGGAAAAGCTGACAGAATGTTCACATCACAGCTTAAATACAGAAAGGCAATCCTCACGTGAACCACAATGGGCCAGAGTGTCAATGCTTTATCGACGTCCACTGTATTGATGATCTGATAGATCTGACATGCCACAAAACGTAGAAAATGCAGGCAAATAAGCATGTCTTGGGGTGTCAGGAGGGTCTGCTGCTTCTTGTACCCCATATTCATGCTATCAGCAAATCCAACTGGCTCTACTGTCACAACTCCAGGTATAATCGCTCCTCATCCCCCTTCCAGCATCAGGCCTGGCTTTCATCCCCCCGAGTCCACCTACCACCCTGCCAGGGTGATATACCCCCTTGCTCAGAGCCATGCAGTGTCCCTGCCCTCTGACCGGGCCACCCCACACTGTCACAGGCACCTCACCTCTGCTCAGTGCACGGAGCCCCATCGCCACTCCTGAGGTGCACCCTCAAACCCGTGTTCCTCTGGGAGCTGCGCTCACATGTTCCCCTCTGCATGGAGGGCTCTTCCCAGAGATGCTCAGGCATCAACCCTGATGGCCCCAGAGAGGCCCCCTGATTACCCCCTGGACCTCCCAATGCAGGTTCGTTTTTCTTCATAGCATTTTGCATCACCTGACATTATGTATTTGTAATTTCTTCTACTAAGAAGTAAAGCTGAGTGATCTGTTTTGCTTAAAAACAATTCCCTCTCTTTCTGTAACAGAGGTCTTTAGCAGCAGGTAAATGCTAAGTGCTAATTACTCTTCCCACCAGCAGCCAAGTATCACCGCCAAAGTCTGGCTCCTAGGACAGAGTCTGGCACACAGTAGCTACTCCATAAATATCTGCTCAATGACCCACTGCCGCCGAGTCGATTCTGACCCATAGTGACCCTACAGGACAGAGTAGAGCTGCCACATAGCGTTTCTAAGGAGCGGCTGGTGGATTTGAACTGCCAACCTGCTGGTTAGCAGCCAAACGCTTAAACCCTCACACCAGTGCAGCTGATTGTTTGTGACGTTCGTCCCTCATTCCCAACGGCTGCCCCTTTTGCTTTAATGTGCACAGAAGTGCCCTGATTCTAACATAAGCACAATATACAACTGCACCAAAATAACCCAGGTTTTGAAAACATTTTAAACTTCCATCTCTCTCCACGGTAGACAGCTGCACTTCACTAGTGCAGGTAAACCATCCCCCTGAACGCGCTGGTGGTCACAGAGCTGGAATGGACCAAGCGTCCACTGGAATTTTCAGGCCATTCTCTGGGACAAGTTGCAATTCTACATTTTTTGAGTAATTAGTCTTCATTTCTTTGACATCCCCAAATTATATTCATTCAAGGCAATGGAAATGTTAATTACCTAAATCAAAATAGTCAAAACAAATAAAGCTTAACTCGGAAATGAAGTCAGATGAAAATCGCTATTTACTCCCCTCTTCTCTCTTTGTTCCTGTTAGAATAGTCACTGAAAAAGCTATTCTGTGGAGAAATCACATCTGAATGAGGTGGGGGAGAGATGGAACGGAAAATACTGCACCTGCAAGGTGATCATTGGAACCTGGCTTTTACAGTGGCTGCACGTGGCCTCACGGTATTTACAGGCCTTTTCCACGTGGTCACGGAGGTCTTTTCTCAATACTTTTTCTTTGCAGTCAGCACGGACGCATGGAAGTTCTTCAAATTGGCAATCATTTTTTAAATGCACCTGTAAGACAGACAATTCACAGTACTTACTCGGTAAAACTTCAATCTGAAATATCCCAGTCTAACCTCCAGGCAATTAAATCCGACAGAAGCATTTCCAATCTGCCGCTGTATGAGTTTTCCAAGGCGAAGATGGACAAATGCATTAAGAGACACAGAATCTCATATTCTATTTAGCAATTACTCAAGCTCTATTGCTTTTGAAGAAGCAAATCAACTCTTTCTCCTGGGTACGTAGATAGACCAATGTCTGCTAAGAGCTTTATGTTATTCCAACTCAAATATCCTTCCAGGATAAAATATGATACTAATCAAAAAACATAAGAAGCTATGCAGAATTTCATAGAAAAAAAAAAGAACAAGCCTTTAATGGGCCTTTTGAAATCAAAACTCAATTCAGATTTCTTACTATTCTAAATAGGGTGGGGTGTTTAAAACCAGGTGACATGTCTGTCAATGATGTCTACGGTGAAATGAGTTCCTTTATGTGGCCTTTTGCCTTGGTTCTGTGGAAAAACAGCTTGGGAGATTTTTTCCCCCTAAGCCCTTAAGAGTTACCTTTGCCCTACTATTTGAAGAAGCAATTTGGGGACGGGGTTCCCAGGTTGTTTTCTACCTCAGAGAGTTTGTTACAGAGAATTTCCTGGTTTGACTGATATTTCCTGGGTAAGCTGTAAACAACTTGATACTTCTTGTCTGGCCCTTGGCTGCAGTCTGCCCTGTGATTGGTCTATTTCATGTACCTCCCGAGGACTAGTCGTTTTGCTATGCAAATAGTGGCTTGAAAATCCATCCAATAGGAATGAGAGACTTGTGGTCCACTGAGAGGATTGGTCAGTTCCTGGTCCTGCTGGGAGGGCTATGACTTGAAATTGACAAGGCGTTTGCGCCTCTGTAAGTGGCCAACCCCACAGAGGATTTTCAGAGAAGAGAAAAAAGAGACAAGGAAACTTCCAAAAGAGCTATAACGTGGGTTAAGGGCTACAACACTGAAGGTGGCGAGAGGCCCAGGAGGGGCTCCGCAGCAGAGCTGGTGGTGGTGGCAGAGAGCCGCTGCTACACTGGCTATGCACAGCCAGGTGGCAGTGAAGGGGCGGAAGGCAGGGAGGCATGCATGGCCAAGAGGGGGTGTGTACGGCTGAGAGGGGCCTGCTTACACAGCCCAGAGCAGCTGAGAGAGCTGTCCTGGCTGGAAGCTCTCCTGCACTAAAGAAGGGAGGGGTGTGCTCTCACCTCGAGGCGGCCTTCTAAACCTCGCCTATGTGCTTCCTAATCCTGATCCCTAGTTGCAGCCTCATTCTTCCTTAAAATAAGACACTTAACTGTAAGTACAGTTCATGAGTTCTGTGGGGCCACTGCAATTATCGAACCTGGCAGAGAAGTAGAGAGTGCCATGGGGGGAATGGCTAGTGTCAGAAATGGTGAAGAAATTGGAGAGTGGAGGTATGTCTGACCTCTACTTCACAGGAACCAACTTTGTGCTGATCCTGATTATTAACTCTCACGAACTGAGGCAATTCTTTATGATGACAGATTACAATGTCATAAAAGTAACATTTTATATTCCACTAATTCTGACTGGTTTCATATCTGGTGGTGTTTTGAAGGATTAATGTACATGTGGTCTTAGATGCCACATTAAACCGACACAGCGGGCCATTGGCTGAACGAGGCAGGGACCCATGTTTTTCCATATAAACCCGCAGCGTCACCTACCAGCAGATGCCCCAGCGTTAGCTGCTCTGCACAGCCCCGGCTTTCATTCCGACAATAGATCTGAAGAGCCAGGATCTCTCTCTTGCAGCAATTATCCTTAAACACCTGAAATGGAATGACAGTTATTTTAGAGGATTAATATTTCTTAATCTCCACATGCTGTTACTTTGGACAAGGTAAAACCACTTTAAAAAAATCAGGAGAGCAGCTCTTGAGCAGACCTCAGGAAGTCCCGAGGACTGCCTTAATTGCTACAAGAAGGATGAAGGCGCTGCCTCCCTAAGAGGTACAATTTAAACAATATAACCTGAACTACCACCTTTCATTAGATGAGCCAGAAGAAAATGAGTTAAACTGAATAATTGAAGACCATTCTGGAGAGTCAAACACTTTAGATTAACTCTGGCATAATCTCAAGACAAGGCATAGCAGGACCGAGGCCTCGAGGGCGGGGCCCACAGGTTCACAGGTGCTGGCATGGTGCAGGGGCCACAGATGTGAGGGAAGAGCACCTCCTTACCAAGGACGGGAAAGAGCCTGCTGCAACCCATCCTCCTTTATAGAGTACTTGCCAGAGAAACACAGACACTACTGGGAAGGACCCTATTTTATGAATGGTTTGTAAAATATTTATTTTAATTCATTCTGCTAAGGTGATATTGCTTATTGCTCCTTTTTTTTTTTTTTTTTTTTTTGCCAAAAAGGGTGGCGGGGTCCCATTAAAAGAAGAACAAAACTCTGGGGTTAATCTGATAATAAAAATGCTCCACTTTAAAACTGAACACCTTCCTGCCTTTATTTTATTTTCCCTTAGAAAACATATTTGCTACTTGTACTAGGAAATACTCTTACTCTTTCTAACAACACCTCTTAGTCCTCAGGCATTTCGAAGAAACTCCCACCTGTTAACACTTTATGACAGAGGGAAAAATAGACAGGGATCGTAACAGTCCTTTCTCAACTCCACAGGCAAAAAAATTGAATCAGAGGCTGTCAAGAGTTAAGAATAAACTAATTTGGAGTCAAATCTAATCCTTCATAAACATGACTTTTTTTAAAGGTCATTTTAAGGTACCAGAGTCAACAAAACGATATTTGTAACCAGCAAGAAATATGCTTCCTTTTCACGCCCTTATGTTCTTTAAGTCATTTGTATTTAACCTTATGGATAAAAAACACTGGATAAGAACACCAGAATCATACGTACAGCATTTCAGAGCAGAAAAGGACCTTGGAATACTGGCTCTGTTTTATAAGTGAGGGGCCTAGGCCCCCACACGGCCCCTTTCACTCGGTGGCCTAGGAACGGTACAGCCACACTTTCCCAGAAGGATCCAGGCTTCCACCGATCTCATTTACGATCCCTCAACAAAACTAGAAAATACTCTTCAGCTGTCAGTGCCACTGAAGAAGAGGGAGTACTTCTGAGTGACAAAATACAGACACTAAACAAAAGCATCTCAGTCTGTTGTTTCAACTCTCTCTCAACCACACTTGTTGAGATACTAAGCAGCAGAGGTGAGTGACTTGTTTTCTGAAAAATAATTCCCTCTCTGTTCGTAATGGAAATCTTTATCAGCAGGTAAACGCTAAAGAAGAAAAGGTTTGTGGACAGCTGACCAATTCTGACCTAAGCTGTCAGACCAGATGCCTTCGCCTCATCCCACTCACCTGGTCTGTCCTGACGGACAAAGCCCGTCTGCAGAGTGCTTTACACAGGAAAAGGCTGAGAGCAAGCATTTTACTGCAAAGTGTAATGACCTACATTTAAAAACTGTTAGGGTCATTAATCAAAATATCAGAAGCACATGTTTTTATTGACATTTTACGTACTTTAAGAATGAGTCGTTTCAAACTCAATGTGTGCATGGCAGGATTTAGCAGCACCCGAGGACCACCTGTCAGAGGTTGGGGCCCCAGGTGGGAAGCTGGGTGGGCAAACCAGAAAGGTCATTCCCACCCTGAGAGTCTGCAATCACACCCAAGAGCCTGAGCCAGTGTGCGTGTACATGCACGTGTGCATATATGCATGTGTGACATACCTGTGTTTGTGTGTATATACATGTGCACATCATGCACGTGTGTATATATGTGTACCCATGTGTGCATGCACGTGTGTGTGTATATGTATGTGCACACCATCTGTGTATATATGTGTATGTGGACCTGTGTGTGCATGCTCATATGCGTGTGTGTATATATATGTATGATGTACCTGTGTTTGCATTGTGTATGTATGTGGACCCGTGTGTGCGTGTACGTGTGTGCCTACCCGTGCTGTGTGTGTGTGTGCACGTAAAAGGAGGAAATTTCACACATCTAATGATTTGAGATACTGCAGTGGGGGGCAGAGAAAGAGCAAATTCAAATGAATACCTCACGTTTGACAGCAGAACTTAGAATAATATTCAAAAACAAGCAATCTAGGATAAAGACCCCGGGTAACAGCAGTGGCTCTGACAACAGGGGCACTGCCAGGGCCAGGCGTGAACCCAGCACTCCCGTGACACCGACTCCTCCACCCTCTCACGGCCCTGCAGAGCGGTAAGGGGTGTTATCATTACAGCTGAGGACACAGGCTCAAAGGGTCAGAGCGCCAGGGGACAGAACACAGACTGTGAGAATATTACCCAGCTTAAAACACACAACAAAATAATTTCTTAAAGATCAGAGTACCTTATCTTTAATGATGCTTTCTTGACACGCAGTACACTTTGGACTGGCAGAGCTGAGGGAAAAATACAATGAACTTGTTAGAGCATGAGCCCATCTCTCATTTGAACTCAGCAGATACATCGAACTGTTCAGCTTAAGTTCATGGTCACGTTTGTTAGGTGAAGCTTACAGCAGCAGCCAGGGCTTCAGCAGGCCATGGTGAATCTGCTGTAAATATGAAGCCCCAGGAGAAAAGGGCCAAATTAACAACGACAAAAAAGGTAACTTTTCAAAAGGAAGTTTGTAAGCAGTACAGTTTAGTTCAGTCTCACTTGGAAAGCCCCTTCAATTAAAATAAAAGTGAAATTTTATTCCAGAAACCAAATCGAGCTCTCCATGGATAGGCTCTTACGTATCAGCATTCTTAGATCACTGGGAGAGTCCTGAGTGATCTTGCTTTTTAAAAATAGCCAATACTTTACCCACAAGCTATTTTTCTGCGCTGTATATTTAAATGCTAATGCAACTCCAGACTATAAACAATATGAGAATTTTAAACTGACCCTGTTTAAAGAGACCACTAGTCTCCTGTATCGTTCTTGTCCCCAAACTCAGGGCATGACCTGCCCCTCCCCTCAAGCTGCCCCTGTCTGGCCTTGGTTCTCACCCCATCCCACCCTGCGCCTGGAATCCACCTCCTAGAGATTAGAATTAAAAATGGGATGTGAGCCCTTGCTACCTCCGTGATCCAGCCTAAGAATGCCAGGGGGCCAAGTGGGGCACAGGCAGCCGAACCCTAAGCAGCTGAGGGCGGCACGTGTATATGGGGGGCTGTGGACAGACTGGGCCAGCTCCACAAGACCTGGAAGCCAGCCAGGGGCGTCGACGGCTGAGGGGCTGGGAAATTAACTTATTTTAAAATAAAACCTCATTTATTTAGACTCTACTGGCATGGAACTGGGAGCCCTGGTGGCACAGTGGTTAAGAGCTCAGCTGCTAGCCAAAAGGTCGGCAGTTTGAATCTTACCAGCTGCTCCTTGGGAACCTTATGGGGCAATTCTACTCTGTCCTGTAGGGTCGTTACGAGTTGGAATTGACTTAATGGCAACGGGTTTGGTTTTGGTTTTTTAGTATGGAATTGAGTGCCTGGGTGGTGCAAATGATTAACATGCTTGGCTACTAACCAAAAGGTTAGAAGTTCAAGTCCACCCAGAGGCACCTTGGAAGAAAGGCATGGTGATCCTACTTTCAAAAAATAAGCCATTGAAACCCTGTGGAGCCCAGTTCTACTCTGATGCTATGTGTCAGAGTCGACTCCCTGGCAATGGTCGGTTGTTGGTAGTATGAAACTCATGTTAATTAAAAAAAAAAATCCTGTAAATCTTTTACATCCTTAGACATACGGGCTGAGCAACACCTGAGCGGGGTCCCTGACACTTGCAGGACAGGGGCAGATGAGGAAGTGGGAAGCGGAGGAGGGCCAGGAGCAGGTGGAGGGCCTGGGGGCTGGAGGAGGTGCACCCAACCGCCCCCCTCCGGCCTCCTTCCTCCTCCCCCTTGCGCACTCCTCCCCCCACAGAAGCCCCCCATAAACTCACACATGGGCTTCCACTGAGTTCTCCTAAACAGTTCACAAGTTGAGCTCTGAACATTTTATTCACAGACTTCAGAGCTTTCAATCTTTAGTGTTTTTTAGAGAAATAAGCGAGCAAAGAGGTGGGCGAGAGAGACAGGGATGCGGGGCACGGCCGCCGGGGGCCCACCTCAGCAGGGCAGCCATGCAGGTCTCACAGAACCGGTGTCCACACTCCGTCTGCCTCGGGTTGCACAGGACAAGGCGGCACTTCTCACACTTGTACTTGTCCTCCACGGTCTTCACAAACTTTTCCTTGTAACCCCCTTGCTCGGGGACGAACACGGCTGCCCCGGCACTGCGGTCGGAAATCAGCTTCAGCGGGGGATTGGTCTGCAGGGAGCCCAGGGAGTCCATCTTTTTACTGGACTCCATTCTGGGAAAGCGAACTTCTGCAGGAAGAAACATAACAAGTGAGTAAGGTGCCACCAGGTCACCCGCCCGAGACAAATGCTTTCCTCCAGTTACACGGCGCACCTGAGACTACCTCCCGACTTTAACACGTAAACAGGAGCAAGGTGTGCTCAGCTAGGCTTCACTCCTTTCTCTTTATCCAAACACTACTGCCAACTTGACAATTTAAGGAAACTTCTAAAAGGTACATTGTAAACCGTTTTCAAGATTCCCTAGAATGCAGGGTAACTCTGCTGCCTGCCGTCACGTCATCACTTCCCCTACTGTGGCCAGAGCAATGGCTGTCCTCAGCCAGCTCCACTTCCTTGTCAGCCTCATCACGGGACTCGGGGCACAGCGGCACACACAGCGTCCAGCCTGTGAGGCCTCTCACTCCGACAGCAGCACCACTGCACTGGACGTGGTTCCCAGGTACCATGCGGTTCTTCACACAGACGCACGCAGGGCTCCGCAGATCTGGAGATGGCATGGCTGTGCCCACCGTCCCTTGGCCTCATTACTCTCGTCTCATTAACCTAAGCACAGGGATTCAGAGAGGAGCCTGGTGGACTCACAGGAACCTTCAAGCCCTCTCCCGACCATGCTCAGACAGGGGCACACCAGGAGCCAGCCTCCACTGGACCATGAGGAGGCAGATGCTGAGGGGGTCACTGACCAGAAACTGCCCCTGGACTCAGGGCTGGCAGAGGGCAGAGCAGGGGTGGATGGGGTCTCCTGCCCGCTCCATGCTGGTTCTCCTCATGCACGTGGCTACAAGTTACTCTCAGTGGGTGGCTGCTGCCCCCTGTGAGTCCTCATTGCTGGCAGAGTCAACAGCCCCAAGAACAAGTCCACAAGTACCCCAGCCTGAGCAGCCCTGCCAGGCGAGAACCCGAGGTTGAACCAATGAAAACAGACAAGGATATAAAGGAGAGGAATGAAGTTCGCGAGAAGCATTAGCTTTAATAAAAATCACAATATGCAGTAATACATATGCATCAGTAAGTTGATTATGATCCTAAATATTTATTTTTATCTGAAGCACAAATTAAACATCTTCAGATGATGGGATAAAGGGTGGTTTCTCTTTTCTGTTATTAGTTTTATAATAAAAGAACACATTTTGCATGCTGGACAATGCCAAGATCAACTCAGGCACTGGACACTGCTCCTCTGCCTAGCTCCTCCCCACCCTTGCTCAAGCCCTCTGCCTGACAGCCCCAGCACAGTCTTGGGGGACACAGCTGTACCCCCGTCCTGTCACCAGCCCCAGCCGGCCGTGCTCCTGCAAACACATGCCTCAGTCAGCGAGAGGCGGGGGGCACTGCAGGGGCTGAGAGGGCAGGGGCTCAGTAGCCTCAGGGCAGAGCAAATGCCCGGGTGTCTGGCACACGCTCCTCAGGCTGCAGCCGGGACTTTTTCATGTGGACTCTGGCCACCCGCTTCGTTCTCACCGCCTTCTCTCTCTCTCGCATGAAATGGTAACGCACTTGCTGAACTGCCGAGGCATTTTCTTTAACTCAGCAGGTCCCTCCAAAACTACGGTGTGTGTTGTTACCCTATCCACCTGTTTATGCTATTTCCAAAATGAAGGGCCACGTTCTCTCTGCTCACGAGTCCTGGGCATCCGCCCAGCCCTCCTCAGTGAGGCTCAGCCTCGAGCACTCCAAGGCTGGGGGCACGGCAGGCCTCGGGACGGGTGTCCAGCCGCTCCCTCTCCGCCTTGTTCCTGCACTGCCTCTTCCTGCCTCTCTCTGTAGGAGGCTGAAAGAGCCAGCGTTTCACGCAGGGGATGGACAGGCACTAACGTGGCAGCAGAACCCTCGACAGACCAACAAGCCAGTGTTCCATTGCATGTGGAGGAGCTTTAATAAAACAAAACGTTACTATGCCAAAGTGGGGAGCCTCGTGGAAATTCACCTATTTGTGAAAAGTTTTCAAAATGACCTCAAAAGGCTAGTGACCCTTTGCTTGCAAACTTATCCATCAGAATTGTGTTCGTTAAGATGCTACGTACACTCTCCAACAGCTAGCTAGGCAGGAAAGGTACTGGGTGGGGGCCTCGCGTCAGAGAAAAGAGCACTGATGGGCAGACCGGGAGTGCACACCCTGCCCACCAGCCACCTGCCTCTGGCGACTTGGGCCCCCTCCCGCTGTCCTCTGCAGTGGCTACCCTCCTCCGGAAGGCGCTCCCCAGAACCCCGTGCCGGACTCTCCACCTTCTCAAGGAGGCTGGCTGGGCCCACTCCACCTTCCCAGCACGACTCCCTTCTCCGTTCCTTCCCACAGCACGACCCGCTCGCTAACGCTGCACGCACACTCACTGTCTCTGTCCTTGGTAGAATGTCAAGCTCCCTGAGGTTCTGGTTCTGATCTGTTTCTCTGACTGACAAACCCCAGGCCCCTAGAATGGTGCCTGATGGATAGAAGGTGCTCAACAAACGTCTGCTGATAAACAGACGGATGGCAGGGTGAGGTCCAAGTCACGGAGACCAAATGGTATTTCTGGGATGAGCCGACTCCAGGAGCAGAGAACACATCAGCTCTTCAGACCTGATCCTATAGGTTCACACCCTGGAACACCCCGCTTAGATTACTAACTACTTACAACTTCAGCCGATTATTTTCTCCTACAGTGCTTGGGAAGCTGTGGTGCTCAGTAGTGTTTTGATAAGAAACACTTGTTCTTGGGAGGTGAATTCCTACTTCAAATACAAGGAAGACCTAACCTCGGAGCAAGGTCATGATCAAGAACGTGTGTTGAACCTATAACATGTCCTACTCTGAATAAGCAGCAGAGTGTCGTTTTGGACCCCTGTTTTTAGAGAATACTGAAGAGAAAGAAACGGGCATGAAAAGTGACCAAAGCCAGAAGTGAGGAGCCCATGGCAGCCCTGTCCCGATGCTGTAGGAGAGCCCTTGGCTGGCGGGTCTCCTGGGGCTGACCCCATGATGCCGGACACTCAGGTGGCATCTGTGCAATGGCTCGCAGCCTGCCCAGTGCGCCCATTCTCGGCCCACGCACGGCTGTTCCTGAGCTCAGCTCGGTCCCTCAGGGAAGGAGGGAATGGGGCCCTGTGGTGCTGAGGCAGCAGGCCAAGGATGCCAGACCATCGTCACCTAACACAGCGAGGAGGAAAGAAGCGTAAGAAAATGATCTAACGGTGAAACGTCCAGAATAGGCGAATCCATGGAGGCAGAAAGTAGATTAGTGGCTGCCACGCTGTGGAGGTGCAGGTGGGCTTGGGAGGTGAGTAACCAGCTTCTCCTCGGGGTGACAAAAATGTTCCAGGATTAAAAAGTGGTGATGATTGCACAACTCTGTGAACATACTGAAAACACGGAGCTGTACACTTTACAAGGGTGAATTTTACGGTATGTGAATTACACCTCGATTTAAAGACACTATCTCCACCAGGGGTATTACAAAGCAACTGTTCAAAACCGTTAGGTGGAGGTCGGTTACGTTGTGATAGTTACACAGGTATGGATTGTACCATATTCTTCAAAATACAAGATTCTAGAACCGAAATCCCACAGTGCCCGGGGCTGTGGATGGATAGATGACACAATAAAACAACAACAACAAAATAAAAGGGAACAAAACAGACGATCAGTACTGCCAAGATGCCTCCCCAAAAGGCCGTGCCAATCACTGGGTTTCCTCCAGTGCCTATTACTACTGGACAAACATTACTTCATAGGAGAGCAGCCCATTTCACTCCAACACGATGCTTCTGCTTTTCTTCAGCCTCACGGTTTTCTGGAGCGCTCTTGGCCTGCTGTGCACCCCCCTGCCCCCCGTTTAACAAGCATTGCTGGGTGTCTGCTCTGTGGACACCGTCCTAAGGGAGCCTGTCCGCAGTGCTCAGCCACGAAGGCTCAAGGGGCGCCACCCACCAGGCCCTCCGCACCAGGTACGCATGAGAATCCCTCTGGCTGGGGAGTCTGCAAAGCTTGGTTGAGATACTTGCACTTTAACAAATGCCCTGGACACCTGCCATGTACACAGCTCGGTGCCAGCCCTCCAGGGGACACAGGGATGAAGGAGACAGTCCCTGTCTTAGAGAGCCTTTGAGGGAGTCGGGATGGTGGGGAGAACAAGGAGCCGTCCAGGGTCCACAGCTACAAGCAGCAGCAGAATGTGCGAAACACCACCCCAGAGCTACAAACAGCTGTGGGTCTTCAGAAGAGGAAGACAGCACCTCTGTTTTCAGGAGACCCGGGGGCTTCCTGAGGTGGACTGGGGGCACGATTCCGATTCCAGCCGAGGAAGACAAGGAGGGGTGGCAGACACAGCACCGTCAGGTGGTGACAGAGGGGACTGGGGACCAGAGTCTCTGGAGGAGCCTGACGTCATCACACATGTGATGCAGAAACGCTGAAAGGTGCCAAAGGCACGGGGCCTGGTGGTGTGGGTATGAAGGCCAGCCTGGCAGACCTACCTGACGTGAACCCTTGGGCACAGTCATTCTCCTCTCCAAGCCATGCTTTTATTTTTTTCTTTTCAATCCATCTGAGAATCAGGTGCTAGCTCTAATTCTCACAGCATCACCAGGCGTCAGGGAGAAGACACGAGCGGCTCTCTGAAGACCGCAGCGCTGTGCACGTGGAACAATTACCCTCCACTAAACGGCAGCAGCAAGTCTGACAAGGACAGGGCTGTCTTCTCATCTCAGAGGGCTCAAGGCCTTTGTTCAAAAAGTCCCTTATCGGCAATTAGGCAAGAAAAAGAAATAAAAGACATCCAGACTAGAAAGGAAGAAGTAAAACTATCTCTATTTCAGATCCTAAGAAACTGCCTAGAGGCTAGCTGAACTAATAAACGTGTTCAACAAGGTTGCAGGATACAAGATCAATATATAAGAATCAACTGTGTTTCTATACACTAATAATGAACAATCCGAAAATGAATTAAGGAAACAATGCCAACATCAGCAGAAAGACTAAAATATCTAGGAATAAATTCAACAAAAGAACTGCAAGACTTGTACACTGA